AATTATTATAGTTGTCTAGTGACTCTTAAAATAATTGAAGAATCTTTGAAACGTACCAGCCAGGTGACTTTCAATCAGTCCGGATCCACGACGAGCGAGCCAGCTTTGCTGTTATGACGAAACACGTCATAAAGCGACAGTACAAACGACTTCTTCGAGTCGTTTGTACTGTCGCTTTCTAGTAAATTCCGCTTTCTGTAGAAATATTCTCCAAAAGTTATCTTTCCACAAGCTGAGTTTGGAGCAGGTCAAGACAAGTTCACGAGCGAGCACAAAAGAACGAATGGAACGTTGTGGAAGTGCATTTAAACACTCGCCTTGGTTACGGTTGCCAACTGCGTGTGCACGTAATAAAACTATCAGAATGGAGCTCACTGCAATGTAATTTACAGTTAATTTATGGTCATTTATAGTTACTGCCGTTGTCACCCTTTATATGGGATGTAATATAAGCACGTAGGTATAGGTATATCCAGAAATAAACATAGATATTAGAAAGCAGCAAATCAGTAACAGATGTTTGCTTGAGTGAATAACATTAGCATATAGCTCATGGTAATATTACATCTTCACATTTTTCTTATCGAAGCTAACAATAACTTAGCGTTCTCGCTACTCACCATGCTGTAAAACAGGTATATGTTAGCAATGACACCATTTAACAGATATTAAAATGCTAGCCGCGCTAATTAGCCTTAGGATTGCTTGAGGTCTTGTTTTCAGCTCTAGTGGTCATAAGCGAACTTAGGCCTGTGCCAACCTTGAGCACGGACATCAATCTTGTAAAGCTCACTATTAAACTGACAAAAAGCCTTAGAGCCTAGAAACTATGATACTTACAACTGTGCTATGTTTGTGTCATAGCATATAGCAAGACCCCATAACGATAACTGACCTTTGACCTCTTCTCAAGATTAATCTTCAGGTCAAAGAGATAATGCTATATACAGCTATTTTAACACTATGTTTCTTACTGCCATTGTCTGACATAATATCCTTGAATCTTTTTCTAATTCAACACTTAATATAAACACTGCATGTTTATTTAAAAATTAAGAATTAAAAACGCTCCTTGTAATGCCAACTTTTGTTTTCAAATGTAAATAAAGTATATCAACTAACATACTGGACACTGTTCTGCTGAACAACACACATATTACCATTATTGTAGCTGGTGTTTTTTAGTAATTTATTATTTTATTTCTCATACAATTTAAAACATTAATAACCTTTTCAATAAAACAAAGTATCAGATGTAATTATTCTGAAACTAAGTCTAAGCTTCCCATAACTTTTTATTGCAAGTTACATTACTGACATAATAAACATAAAATGTTTGTATTGTTCATCCACAAGTCCAGTCTCTGGCTCAAACAACACAGAAGCTTGGTGTGTTTGTTTCTCAGTCCAGGCATTACTGCTTGAATGCCTGTCATGAATTTAGGTAATTCAAATGCAATTGCCTAAAGAAAGTCTTTTACATTGTCCCAACTTCCCTTAAGTACAGTGGCTGGAGATGTGGGCTGGAGATGCAATGAAAGTAAAGAAGAGAAAACAATGTACAACGAGGGAAAAAAATAACCAACTATATACATGGTGTATGCGTAAGAAACATTGAAACAGAAACATTGTGGGTGTATACAAGGACAGTTATATAATAAAATAAATAGGGGTGAAATGGTAAATGGCCTGTATTTGTATAGCGCTTTTCTAGTCCCTAAGGACTCCAAAGCGCTTTACACATCCAGTCATCCACCCATTCACACACTGGTGATGGCAAGCTACATTGTAGCCACAGCCACCCTGGGGCGCACTGACAGAGGCGAGGCTGCCGGACACTGGCGCCACCGGGCCTTCTGACCACCACCAGTAGGCAACAGATGAAGTGTCTCGCCCAAGGACACAACGACCGCGCCTGTCCAAGCCAGGGCTCGAACCAGCAAACTTCTGATTACAAGGCGACCTCCCAACTCTTGAGCCACGATCGTTGGCTGGATGGAGTGGCTATGGTCGTTTAGGGTGGTAATGCCACTGAGATACCACTGAGACCAAAATATTGCACAGGACCATAAATATTGCACACACTAAAGATATGGCACATGAGCCAAAAATATTGCACAAAACATGGAAAGACTGAGATATTGCACATAGCTAATCAATAGCAGCATCAGAGTGGATGAACTGGGGAAGTCAGTTCATACTTTTAGTTTGCATTAAGAGTTCTGACAGCCCATGGGAAGAAGCTGTTTTTATTTTCTTCAATCAGTAATGAATAGTAAGATGTTCTAGCTTTATGGAGGGCTTTTTTAATAAAGCAGGCTAAATGATGATCTACTACATTTTTGCACACCATTTCATCTCCAGCTTACGAGTTATCTGTTAAATGTTCAGTTTCTATGTCGTATGTTAAAACAAGATCTAGAGTGTGATTAAAGTGGTGGGGGGGGTTATTTTACTTTTTGAGAGAAGCCAGTTGAATCTGGTAACAGATTACACAGTGTCATTTTGAGCAGTACAAATAATAAAACATTTTAACTGTCAGATAATTTCAAATGCAACAAACATCAGTATCATTATTTCATATTCTGTATAGTTTTTCATATTTATATCCTGTTCATAGCCTGTACATAGCTTGTACTCACTACAGCCTGTACATACTTATAGTTATAGAATATTCACAACATACTTCATACCGTGTACATTATAACATACCATAATAGACCAATTTCTGTAATATACTTACATATCTATATTATTGCTATTATATATTGTAATATATCTATATCACTAAAGCACTTCTGGATGGATGCAAACTGCATTTCGTTGCCCTGTGCATGTGCAATGACAATAAAGTTGAATTCTAATTCTAATTCTAAACACGAGCCCCACCCCACCCCCCACCCCCATCCCTATGTGATTGTGGAATATATATGCAGATGATGTTGTTTTGGTCCTGTCAAATCCTGAGCGATCTGTTCCTGTACTATTAGATCTGGTGAGGTTGTTTGTTATACAATTAACTGGTAGAAGAGTGAGTTTGTGGCTTTAACTGCAAACCTGGATGTTGATTTCTTGAAAACTTTGCTTTTTAAAATTACAGACAATAATAATTAAATGCACTTAAGAACAGGACGCAGCAACACTACATATGAGCGGGTGGAGGGAGGTTTGGGGTCTTCACTCACCCCCATTCTGTTAACCGTCTGGGCAGGGGGACTGGGAGGAGGTGCTGGCCGTCAGATTGGGGTCTGAGATGCGGGGCCTCCCTGCTTTTTGCGGTTTGCTTTCCTCCATCCCAGAGAGAAGGGTTACATCTCCTGGGTCCGGTTTGCCCCTCTGAGGGCGGAGGTACCTGGACCTGAGATATAGAGTTAGACTCTTTGTGTCTGTCTCCACGTCGGGTGAGTTTGTGTATATGGGGGTGGGAATGCACCGTCTGTGTCTATATGTCAGCTTGGGTCTTAGACTCCACCTCTCTGGGAACATCTCAGGCTCTCTGAGGTTTGGAGGCCTATCTTCCCTTACTGCACTCCCTGCCAGTGGCTGATGCCCTCAGACATTGGTGTGTTGGTGGTTCTTGGTGTCTGGTGCTGAGCGCCCATGTATGTGCCGACTCACTCCTGGTGGCCGATTGGCAGGGCCTGGCGCCCGTGGCCCGGCTGGGCCCCTTCCAGGAGGTGGGGTGCACTCAGGCCTCTAGCCTCTGGGCCTGAGGCTCTGCTCTGTGGCTGCTCGGTGATCTCTCATTAAGGGCTCTCCTCAGCTCTTCCCAGGAGGGTGGCACGGTTGCCCCCCTGGTGGTCCTCCTTGGGTCCTCGTATTCTGGGGCCTCTGGATGTCTGGGGCCTGGATCTCCTCCATACATGCTTCATGCCCTGGGGGACGGGGCTATGGCTCCCCACACTCCCTAGCAGATCGTTACATGGAGAAACCTTTTGAATACAAGCATGCTGATCCACACAGGTGTGCACACAGGCGGACACACGGGTTTTCACAGACACAAACCTTTCTTGGCTGCTACCTCAAAGCACATTGTGCGCTGTCGATCTTGCGTACCTTTCTTCTCCCCTCTATTTTTCTTTCTCCCCCTCTCTTTCTTTCATTCTTTCTCCCTGTCTTATCACCCAGTCATGTCTGTCCTGTCTGTTACAACCGGAAATCAAATCAAATAAATACATATTTATAATTTAAAAAGAAAGAAAGAAAGAAAATTACAGACAGACTTAAATACCTTGGTGTTCTTTTGCCCAATGATCCTAAATTGATCTTTAAGTTGAATTAGCTTGAACAAGTTGAAAAAACTGTAAAAGGACATTGAGAAATGGAGGGCTCTCCCTGTTTGCATGATGAGTCGCATAAATGCAATCAAAATGGTTTCTCTCCCTAAATTCTTATGTCTGTTTTTAAACGTACCTATCTTTTTGAATAAGCAATTTTTCAAATGATCGAGTCAGTAGTATTACCATTTGTTTGGGGCTATAAAAATCATAGGATATCAAAAGTTCATCTATCTAAGTCTAAACTTGAGGGTGGATTTGGTCTGCCATGTTTTTAGTTTTATTATTGGGCTGCAAATGCTAGAACTCTTGCTTAGTGTCAGGAAGGGTACAAAAAGGTCATGTCTGCAAATTAATTGATATATATTTAACTAACTTAATTTTTACCTTTCTTTGTTTATTATCACTGTTCTGTTTATTATCATATAAACAGTACAGTGATTACATACATTATATACAGTGATATATATATATATATATATATATATATATATATATATATATATAATATATATATATATATATATATATATATATATATATATATGTGTGTGTGTGTGTGTGTGTGTGTGTGTGTGTCCAGAAGAGCGCATTCCGCGGTTTGTCGCTTACTTTTCCCCAGTGCCTTCAAGTCAGATGCGGTAGACAGGGTGACGGTCACGTGACCCACCTCAACATAAACAGATGTCACATGATTTTCGGGTTGTTTTCCAACATGGCGGGCAGCTCTCCTGTTTATCCTCAGCGTGGTTTTAAGTTTTCCTCTCGGCGAGAAGAAAACAGACGTTCCAACCTGCGGATACGAGGTTAGCTACTTTATGTCGCGCTTTTGTATTTTATTTACATGTGTTAGGGTTAAGGTACATGTCAAAAAGCTCAGTGGAGCTGTTAGCGCTACTTTCTGTTTCACTCACATGACTGTGCTCACATACATTAAAGTGCTGGTGTTGTGCCAAAAAAGTGCCCGCCTGCCAAAAACTGATTTCCAATGTCTACCTGTGTTTTTATGTGTAATATCTTTACCTATGTTGGCAAATAGACTTCGGTCAACAGGCTTTACAAAGGGGCTAGATATAACATTTTAAAGTTACATCTTTTTCAACTCTGTCTTATTGCACTTACATTACAACCAATTCCATCATTTTTTTCCACTTAAAATATGTTTACAGAACTATTGTTAGATGTCTTTCAATATCTGCTGTCCTCTTGGCCAGATTCTTCTTTAAAACACGTTTTTAATGTCAACAAGCTTCTTTTAACTGCATAAATAAAGGATATATAAAAGTCACTGCCAAAAACTGATTGCAGCTTCTACTTTGTTACAGGAATGTTGTTTGTGGCTCAAGATGACTTGTATCATTCATGAGGGATACATTTGATATAGGTTTCACATATTATAGACTAACAAGTTATGTATAGCAGTTTAAATGCGAGCAATCCTTTTTTGGTAAATACCAGAAATCAGTTTTTGGCAGACGATCACTTTTTGGAGTGAATATTTGTCGACATTATGACTCTTCCGACAGAGCAGTACAGCTGTATTCATAGAGTGTGTGTCTGTGTGCAGTCATGTCATGCCACCAAGCCGGGCATGTTGAATGTCCACCTGGTCCCGCACACACATGATGACGTTGGCTGGCTCAAGACTGTGGACCAGTACTACTATGGAGGTCAGTGTGACACATACAGAAAAAACACTGTGAAGCTATTAGCCAACCTCCTGCTCTGTGTTTACTCTCACACTCGCACAAGAGACCAAGGAAGACAACAGAGGGGCAGCTGTGCCACTGTCCCAGAAAGAGCTGAGGAGAGTCCCAGATGAGGGCTCACTCAGCAGCTGCGGAGCAGAAGCCAGGGGGAGTTGCAGTGATGCGCCCGGGAGCTCCGCCGGCAGCCAGCTGCGCCAGAGTGACCGAGCCCCAGGCTGAGAGTCCGAGGGCACCCCACCCCCGAAGTGGCCCGAGCTACTGTTGAAATGTATCAGAAGACGATATTAAAACACCTTTGTTTCATTTTATACTCTGTCGTGTATTTCATGCTGCCTCATAATGTACTGTTTACTGCAACAGTTTACTTCTTCATTGCTTTAGAGTTTTATGCTTTTAGTGCAATTGATTGTCGAGCTTGCTTATTTTAATGTCACATGTTGTTTATAGTAAGTTGTAAGGCCAGGTGTTGTGCAGGTGACCATCATCTGGTGGTGGTCAGAGGGCCCGGTGGCGCCAGTGTCCGGCAGCCTCGCCTCTGTCAGTGTGCCCCAGGGTGGCTGTGGCTACAATGTAGCTTGCCATCGCCAGTGTGTGAATGTGTGTGTGAACGGGTGAATGACTGAATGTAGTGTGAAGCGCTTTGGGGTCCTTAGGGACTAGAAAAGCGCTATACAAATGCAGGCCATTTACCATTATTTACCATCTGATATTGATTTCCAGTCTGGGTTAATATGTAAGCAGAACTCATCTGCACTGAGGGTGGTTTGTTTGGGCATATGCATGAATGCAGATGAGCACATATACTTTCTTGCTGTTAAGATACGTTAGTGCAAATAAATATTTTTCAAACTGTGACACACAGCAACTAAATTCTGACCACTTCTTGAAGCATTGACTGTGTTACAAAATAACGTCTCTTTTGTCCTAAATCTGTGCACATTTGTGTGCGTAGATCGTAATGACATCCAGCACGCTGGTCAGTACATCCTGGACTCAGTTGTGGATCAGTTGTTGAAGAATCAAGACAGGAGGTTCATCTATGTGGAGACGGCCTTTTTCTACCGCTGGTGGAAGAGTCAGAGCTCCAGCGTGCAGCAGACAGTCAAACAGCTGGTTAATGAAGGTAAATACCCATTCAGTACTATACAGCTGCGTTAAGTGTTTCAGTGCATCCTTACCAAAAGCTGCTCCTCCCGCAGGCCGTCTGGAATTTGTGAATGGTGGTTGGTGTATGAGCGACGAGGCTGCCACACACTACAGCGCCGTCATTGACCAGATGACCATTGGTCTGAGGTTCCTTAATGAGACTTTTGGAGCCTTTGGCCGTCCCCGCGTCACCTGGCACATCGACCCCTTTGGCCACGCCTGGGAACACGCCTCCATGTTTGCACAGGTAGCATAGCTCTTTATGTTTATTCTTCGAGTTTTGCACGAGTCACACTTCAGAATTGCTCAGCTCATTCACTGTCACACTTTCAAACGTTGGCCATGTTTAATATCAGCAGTATAGGGCAGAATAGAAGGATGAGCATAATTGGTCACCTTAAGGAAGGCCTGATTTCTAGTGAGACTTAAAATGGGAGAATTTATCAGTTAAAGAAGAGAGTTGAGGCTAATTAGAGTTAGAAGGTTGCACTCACGTCGAGAAAGACTCTCCGTTTTCTCATTACAAATTTTTGGCTGTATCGTCATTATCAGATTTGCTGCTCTGCAATGAATCAAATGGGCTTATTTCCAGAATGCTGCATTATTACATGAAGGCACAATTTAGTTCACTGGCTTTCCATTTGAATTTCCTTTAACCATTAACTTTCTGTCTTTTGCTGCAGATGGGATTCGATGGCTTCTTCTTTGGTCGTCTAGACTATCAAGACCGGGCTCGCAGGATGAGGAATAAGGAGCAGGAGCTTCTATGGAGAGCCTCCGACAGCCTCACTCCTCCAATGGCTGACCTCTTTACTGGTATGCAAAGTTTCTTTCTTCATCCCTTTATGTTAATGACTTCTGGACTCAGCAACAGGACGGTGTCACATTATTTTTTAACCGTTTGCCCCCGTTAACCAACAGGGATCCTTCCTAATGGCTACAACCCTGTGAGGGCTTCTGTTGGGACCAGCTCTGCAGTGACCCACCTATCAGAGACGATCCTGATCTTGAAGACTATAATGTTGATGATGTGGTGGGACGCTTCCTTGTCATCGCCAACAGTCAGGTTGGACACAACTCCACACTGGCGCACAGAGACACTGATTTATCAGTCACGTGGTGTTCTTAACACCGCATGTTTAACTAACACTATGAAAAAAATGCTCATGTTAAATCAAAAGACATCAAACAACGCTTTCTGATTTAGAAAAAGAGGAAGCAGAAGGGATGCTGTGCTTTTTATCCCAGCCCATATACAGCTGTGACTAGCTAACATGACATGTAAAATTTCAGTAGGAACCTCTTGTTTCAAGTAATGTCAGCATATCTTCATGCAGGTCCCCATAAATCTTTTCTCAACCTGTCTGGTTTTATTTTATGAACCTGTCATGATCATAATAATAAAGACATCTACAGATAGTGTAATGCAATGTCCTCCTTTAATAATCCACATTCACCACTTTAGCCATCATATAAATGTGCTTTGAATAGTGTGAGGTGTGTGTGATTGAAGAGATGTGTGAATTGTTTAATTTCACTCTTCCCTTTTCTTCCTTTTTGTTTAGTTTAATCTGTTAAGCATTATTTCCTCTTCCTTTTTTAGTCTACGGTCTATAAGACCAACCACATCATCATGACCATGGGCTCAGACTTTCAATATGAGAATGCCAACCTGTGGTACAAGAACCTGGACAAGCTGATCCACTATGTAAATGCCCGGCAGGCAAATGGCAACAAAGTCAACGTGCTCTACTCTACACCGTCCTGTTACCTGCAGGAGCTGCACCGAGCAAACCTCACCTGGTACTGTGAACTTTAAAGGGGCAGGATAATGTTTTCTTGTTCTAGCAGCACTGTTGGTGTTAAACTCTATTGTAAAAAGTGTCGTCTTGTGCATTTTAATGTCAGCTAAATCCATTGGTTTTCTATCCAGGCCATTGAAGACAGATGATTTCTTCCCCTATGCAGACGACGCTCATGATTTCTGGACTGGCTACTTTACAAGCAGACCAGCGCTGAAGCGATATGAGAGGATCAGCAACAGCAACCTGCAGGTACTCTGAGATTTACTTTGTGCGGGGCAATTTTACAGTGTGCTCGGCATTACACTTTGTGTCGACGACATCACAACATTCAAACTTCTGCTTTTCTAGAATTACCTCTGTAACTGTAAGTCCTGTCCCACTACTTTAGAGCTTTCAGAAAAATTTAATTGTTTTAGTGTAGATGGTAGTTAGCATGCTAACATTCAAACTTTAAGAATGTTAGCATGACATATGCTAGATAAGTATAACATTGTCACATTACACTAACAAGCTTTAAATTTTGTTCTGTGAAAACAAAGTTTATCTAACTCTTAACATGAACTGTAAGCAAATAAATGCTAATATATAGCATGAAGCACACTGTTAGCTGGCACTTAATAAAGCTATCACTGGTATCCTGCGTCTATAGAACTACCTTAAGATGTGGAAAATTTATACCTGTGTGACTTTTTAAATTGTGTTTACATTTTTTTCCCTCTTAATAGACTTGTAACCAGCTGGAGGTATTTGGTGGTCCAGCTTCCAGGAAAAGGACCCTTTGGGGAAGGTGAAAGCCAGACCATGAGTAAGATTTGATTGAATCTTTTTTGTGTCTCCTTAGTGGGTTCTGCATAGGCATACTGTAGGTACTCTGGCTTCCTGCCACAGTCTAAAGATTTACGTATTAGGTTAACATGTAATAGCATGACCATAAATGGTTGACTGTCTTCAAGTGCTACTCCTGTGATGGACCTGTCCAGGATGTAGGAGAGCTGGGATGGGCTCCAGCCTCCCCACAACAGTGAATTGGTGAACCGGTAGAGAATATGGATACCCTTTAAAAGTTGTATTTGTGTTACTAAGACCAATTGGATGTCAGACAAGAGATTGAGTGACGGCTGCTTTCATTGGTAGAGAAAGCCATGGCTGTGGCTCAGCACCATGACGCTGTGTCGGGCACAGAAAAGCAACACGTAGCAAATGACTACGCCAGGAAGCTTGCTAACGGCTGGCAACACTGTCGGGTACTCCAGGCTTCACAGTACATTATCTTACCCAACAGAAGTTACTTGTGCTAAATTTGTCATTTTCTGTACAGGAAAATATATTATCATGTCTTTAGCAGAAAGTGTTCTTCAGTCCAAACTTTCTTGCACAGGTTTCTTGTCTAACTGTTGTCTCTCTTTCAGGTTTTAGTCAGTAACAGTCTGGCTGCTCACAGCGGCTTGTCTGCTGAGCGAATCTACTGTGATAACCTCAACGGCCTTCATGATGTGATGTTCTTCTACTTCCCTGGCCGCTGTGTCTGTTGTAGCGTCCTGATGACACTCAGTTTGTGCTCCAGTGGATGATGAGAGTCAAACCTTAAATACTCACCCGTGAGCATTTGTTTACAGTACACATCAACTTTAAATGTCCCCCTTTACTGGTGTAAATCTCACAGTCTAAGAAAGCTAACCTGCCATAACCTCCCAGGTGAACCTAATGTGATGGTCCACCCAGTTAATGTGATCAGTGAAACCTGCGGTCAGCTGAAACGGAAGAAGTCACTTGGATGAGTGACGAAATGTTTCTCCCACTGAAAACTCTACGTCCAGATGAACAGAATTAATTTTTAAAAGTTCCTTACCTGGATGACTGACGATACATCAAGACATTTGAACAGCAAGTGGGTAGAGTCACAGCTGCGTGCCCGAGTCACTATCCTGTCTGAAAGTGAGCATTTAAAATCTGAAGGTTTGGCTCATAAGTCTTACTTGTACATGTACTGATCCTGTCATTTAAACCATGTTTAACAACCATCCACCGGTAACATAATAAAAAAACCCACAATATGTCATCTAAAATGTAATTCTGAACACTCTGACCCTCTGAGATTTATCCTCGGAACAAACAGTGTATTCAAGGTGTACAGCCTAAAAAACCTGGGCTACAGTTATTGTAAATACATTCTGTGTAATTACAGATAAGACTGAATGCTCACGCTGCCTTTCTCTCGCTTGTCTTTTTGTCTGTCATTCAGTTCTCAATGTGTACAACCCTCTCGCTCGGCCCGTCACTTGGCCCGTCAGGCTGCCGGTCAATGGAACAGCGTACAGCGTGTCAGATGCTAGTGGCAAAGCGGTGGACTGCCAGGTCAGTATGTGTGCCAGCAGCAAGTATGAGAGAGCAGGCAGCCTTCTGGAGCCTACATCTTCAGACCCAACTCTTCCACACCTTTCGTCATCAGCCGGACGGCCAAGACGGAGATCATTAAGGTAGAGATGTTTGCTCGTATCCAGACGTAGATTCCTCATAGCAAAGCTTTGTTTTTACACTGTTATTCAGTTTACTTCTAAATTATAGGCTGCTGTCATTTTATATGTGTGGGTGTCAGAATGAACATGCCAACATGTTTTACCTCCCTGTTTAGAGGCTAATATGCAGCGTCTAATTTTGTACTGCAATGCTCTCATCCTCAGACGTCAGTGGTGCAGGAGGTGAGGCAGTGGTTTGCTCCCTGGGTGTCTCAGGTGGTTCGTCTCTATGCTGACAGCAGAGCTCTGGAGCTCGAGTGGACTGTGGGACCTGTGCCGATAGAGTGAGTTTAACACGTGCACACTACATATGTAATGGAGATGTTTTTAGAGATAAGTGGTTGTTGAAATTTCTGTTCTCTTCAACCTTTCTAAAAGCTCAGTGCCTTAATGTCAACTGATCTTTCAGGGGAGAAAAACCTCATATGGGGCAATATTGTAGCAGAGCTTTGCCCTTCTAAATATTTCCTCATATCATAGCAAGTGATTGGCTTAGATCGCCGTTATCTTTTTCCCCATGTCAGATTATAAATTCATGGAAAGAGGGAATTTTAGACCATAAGATTCCATGCACACCCACTGGGGAATAGATTTAGCTCATAATTTCAGGTCTATTTTAGCCATTTATTAATTTTTTTATTTGTGAGCGAGAGAAATAAATTCAAGGAAAAGTGAGGAATCTTTGCCAAAATGCTCCCCACACCACCCACCTTTAACCCACGTCACACTTGCTGTCTTGACCTTTCAGTGACAGCCTGGGGAAGGAGGTGATCACTCGTCTGGACACCAGCATCAAAACCTCTGAATATTTCTACACTGATTCCAACGGCAGAGAAGTTCTGCAGAGGAAGTAAGAGTTTGCTTTTTGTTTTTTGATGATGGAAAATGCACTTTAACCTTTTAAAGTTGTTGAAGTTGTTTTGGATGGTATTTTACAGATTATATACAAAGTAAGACAGCTGTACAGTTATGTGATAGTTTTACATTAAAAGAATCCAATTCTGTACACTTAGTGTGTGTGTGTCCCGTCCCCCCCAAACAGGAAAGACTTCTGGCCCACCTGGAACCTGAAACAGTCAGAGCCCATTGCTGGAAACTACTACCCAATCAACTCTCATGCTTATATCAAGGTTTGTGTGTTTGTTAGCTTCCATTTGGAGAGACAAGCAACAAAGAGCATTCACTGTCAGTTCATTGAATTATCACAAGTGATGTTTTCCTTTCACTTGTGTGTCTTCAGGATGATGTGGACCAACTCACTGTGGTAACGGATCGCTCTCAGGGTGGAGGCAGCATCCAGAATGGTTCACTGGAGATCATGGTGAGGCAAAAAGTCGTAGCTCATCACCATTAGCATGTTGACCCCATCTAAGCGCACACAAGGAGTTCTTATTAAAGTCTCTCTATCCAACCTCCTCACCCTCAGCTCCACCACCGGCTGCTCCACTATGATTTCCGTGGTGTTGGTGAACCTCTCAACGAGATCTCTGGCATCTTCCCAGACGGGCTGGTGGTCCGCGGCCGCCTCCTGCTCACCCTCGATCCCCTGCCGACTGCTGCCGACATGCACCGCCCCCTCGCAGAGGGGATGGTGTTGCAGCCGCTGCTTACGTTTACTGATGGAGATCTGAAGCCAAACACTCAGCTGGAGGTATGTAAATGATAAACGGACTGGTACTTGTATAGTGCCTTTCTACTCATTCACCCAATCACATGCACATTCGTACAGTACTTGTACAAATACTGCATGTATTTTAAAGACATGTTATTAACGCACTTCACTAATCGGGTTTCAGAAGTCACGGTGATGTGATCTGTGTTTGAAATATTAGCAGTGCAAGAACCAGCTGGCCTCCATCTTGCAGGTTCCTGTTCAAACACCTTAAACTCCTGTATGTAAGCTTAAGAAAAGCTTTGTACAGTGCTGTGACCTGCACTGTACAAACTGCAGGCTGTTCCTGTGAGAGTCTGCTGCTTGTTTTGAGTCATTGTCTCCAACTGTCTATGCTGCTGGTTATAACCCATTTCTGTCCTGCTGTGTACATATTTGCATTTTTTAGACATGGTTTAACTCGCTCTCAGGGGAACTGAGCTAAGCTGTGTTGCCTTTAGTGGCAACTGCTGCTGACATGTTTTCAGAGCCAGTAATTGGTCGAAATTCATATCAACTTTATGTAGTAATTTTATAGAAAATGTGGTTGGAATACATTAAATAATCTTTTTTTTTTTTTTAAAGGCATGGTTTCTGTGAGTGAGGGTCTTTGTCTTTAGTTCTCAGGGCTCCTGGCTGCACTGCCCCCTGCTGTCCACCTGCTGACACTCAGTCAGTGGGATGAAGACTCAGTGCTGCTGAGACTGGAGCATCAGTACCAGAGCTCAGAGAGCAAAGTGAGCTCTCAGGCAGTCACAGTCAACCTGCAGGTCAGACATTCAGAAACAATTTAAACCTTGTTACACTCAAAGCGACCGTACGGTCATCTGTCATTCAGTCGTTTCTCATTTGCAATGCAGTGGAATGTCGTTTTGCTGTAACTAATCCCATCGTCTTTCCTGTCTGTGCAGAAGCTGTTTTCAACTCTGGAGGTTCTGGGTGTGGCTGAGTTGAACCTGTCGGCCAATCAGTGGAAAGATGAAATGAAACGTTTTGACTGGACTCCTGAGAAAGGTACAGGACACCAGTGTTGTGTCAGTTAGTTCACCACTGCAGTTTTGAACGTCACCCTAGATTCAAAGCTGGATGTGTTCTCCAGTCTGACTCGATTTAAACTTGGCTAAATTTCAATGAATGTCGTCTCCTCGGGCGTTTTTTAATATGGATTCCAACTCAGCTGCTTTGAGCTTTGTGCATTTTGGAGGTCGGTGGTAAAATCTCAGAGACCAGGTATGAACTTCTGTGGAAATCACTTTGGTTCGTTGTCAGATCAAAGTGAAAATAATTTAATAGATTAAATGATGCGTGTTCTGTGCGCTCGTAGCTGCAGTTCCAGCTGTGTGAAAGAAATGTAGCAGCAGCAAAATAAAGTATATAAACATTTACACATTTTCTGCATCACCAACTGAATACATTTATAATCCAGTGACAATGAAGTGCACAGTCTGCGCTTCAGTCAGTGTTTTTTTTTTAATGTATGGCTTCAATACGAAACTTATTTGCAAACATATACTGCACTTAACATAATTCAGTAATCCGTTATTCTGGCTTTGTAGTACACTGCTCTTCAATCACACTTCCATAGTGAGGATTCCCTGATATTTGCAGATTTTGGCCTTCGTTTACTGTTGTCACAATTTCATTATAATATTTTATATAGTAATATAAAGACTGGCAACATCTGGATTTTTCAACATCTGGCAGGTGACCATGCACTGAAGGAGCGCTGGGCTGATAGAAATCTGCTGATGCCTTTTAAATCTCTGATTGTAGTCATCGACTTAACAGTTTCCCTGCAGGTGCTAATTAAGCCAGCAGGGAGCCATAAAGAGTCATAAACAGATTGATATGCTTCATAATGTAATGTATACTACAAGGTGTTTCTGGAGCTCAACATGTTATTTTGTTCCTTGTGAGGAGACTTGGTTGCTGGTCACTGACCCGTGTCACTGCTGGTGTGTTTAAAGATTAACCAACCAAAAACACTTTGCGTCGTTTGTGGTTGTGCTCACATAATGTGTCTGTTTTCCAGGAGAAAAGCCGCTGCTGAAGACATTTCAAGACCCGTCCACGTGGGAGTGACCTTAAGGCCAATGGAGATCCGAACGTTCCTTCTCAAAGTCAACCTTAGATAGCCAATCACACATGAGATTTTATAGGATGAATTATCGTATATTGACATTCCTGTGGCTTGTTTACGTTGCTGGTTTAATAAAGTGAGGATTTTTAGGGGGAAAAAAGATGAATGAGAAGTTGTATTCACGCTGCCTACGACTTAAAATCGGATCACAGCTGTAGCCTGGACTGACCTGGGCAAAAGTCATTTCAGGATGCCTTCAGTCTTTGATACAGAATGTCTGAATAAGATTGAATTTGTTAAAGCTGCCTTTAACATTTTTGAGAACATTTATATTTGTGGGGTTTTTTTGTGCTGTTGCAGTAACAGAATATCGTCTCCCACAAAGTGATATGTGCAATAAAGTATAATCTTTGCATTTCTGCCATGTTGTGTATACTTAGATTTTTCTACTTACCAAGAAGCAGCTAATAATAAAAATCAATCCTCCTTACTGTCCTGCCCTCGTGTTTGTGCCACAAATCTTGTGTATAATCAGTGAAGCAGCATTTAACTTCTGATAATCTGACATTAGAACAGATGTTGTGCTGTTGCTGCTGCAGACCTTTTCCAGTGACAGTTATCTGTGCCTGCTGTCTCCAGCGTGTCTTCAACCACGCAGCGATGTGAAGCCTCGGATGATCAAAAACGGTTTTTTCCCTGAAAGACAAAAATAAAGAAATACTCATGAAAGCTGTTTGATTCTGATGTAGTAACGTCTGAACAGCCAGCAGTATGTTTTGGCTGTGGCTGCCGAGGCAGCGCTCAGCTTCTCTCTGGCAGGAAACCAGCAGTGTGTGGCGACCTGCCAAAGCAACCTATGGAGAAGACTAATTCGTCAGCACGAGTCTGCTGTTTCATTTTCCGCCCAGGACATCGAGACTTTACGGGACTAATTAGTATTTAGGTAATTGCCTGCCTTTAATTCAGAGGGACTTGTGTGTGCCAACAGTATGATAAAGAACCCGACGTGCTGAAGCGATCCTCACCTGCAGCAACTCCGTCAGCTGCTGCAACAGTAACGATGCTTTCTGCTCTTCCTCTCATTTTACTGTGCTGTGCACAAACATAGTTCTAAATGTTAAGCAGGCAGAAACCCTTTTCACGTACTCCTAGTTTGTGAGAAAATAATTTATTTATGTTTTTTGTTTCTTTTAAACAACAGTCACCTCATGACGTTTTACATGGCAAGGTAAAGATCCTACAGCAATACAGAGAAAACCCCTCTGAGCAGAACCATGCCTGGGGTGGGCAGCCTTTTGCACAGATGGCCTCTTAGCTTTAAATGCCCAGCAGCCACAAGAACAGCATCATTTTGGTCTCCACCAAGTCATTACCAAAATGTTATGCTATGTTCACCAGCTAGTCACCATCTTCACCTTCAGTTGAGTGGGATGCAGGTAAAAGCGCTATTTAAGAGTTTTTAATGTAAAAAAAAATGGTGTATTTAGGTTGTGTTTAGTAAATCTGACCTGTTTGAACTTCTTGCAGGGGAAGGTCTTGAGCTGAGAAGAGTCTGTGATCTGGTTCTTTCTCTTGTTCTGGAACTTTTTCCTCTTGTCTTGCAGGTCAGCAGAGATTCCACCACTGAAGGAGAGAACAAATGAGGAGAAAGATTAACAGGAAACCAGAGAAAAGAGAATAAAAAAATAAATAAGTGGAGATGATAGAAGGAGCAACATGTGCAAGAAACAAAGAACACTGGAAGAACATGGACACAGCTTTTTTTTTCTCTCCAAAGAGAAACTCAGGACTACTTTAAGTAACTAAACTAATTCAGGGTATTTAAGGTTTGGGGTTTTTTCCTACGAGGGCAATCTCAAAAGTAAGGTCACCTATCGTTTTAGAAATATTTACATCATTTTAAAGGTTGAAGAATTATTTATTTTTCTACATAATCACCATTTCACTCGCTGCATTTTTGCAGATGCTGTGGCAGTTTTACAATGCCCATGTCGTACCCGCTTGCTGGCGCCACACAATCACCTTCTGGACAAATATTCTTTCAACTTTAGGAACAGGTGGGAGTCACTGTTGGAGGCGTGGTCCTGCTCCTGAAATTCCGATACATAATCTCCAATAACTGGCTAAAAGAGTTCAGTTCCAAATTTTAGGTCGTAGGTCTTGGAAAATTCTTATTATTATTATTAACTTGTAATTTAAATTTTGATTGAAAATGTACCGAAAACCACTACTGCCATCTGTATGACTACTTTAAGTGAAAGCGAATTTTAAGATAAAAGTAATGGATTTAATAGATAAAACAAATTGAATTTTCTTTGTGGTCTTGAGTCAGTATCATGAGGTTTGAGTGTGCTCTTGTGGCCTCTGGTGTTGCAGCTACAGATTTTCATTCCCAGTGCTCACTTTATTATCCATTCATCAGTGGATTCCCATTCATTTTCTATGGTGGTCCTTTTGACCGGGAACACCACAGATGTAACAAGGTTGATTAAAACATACAAAATTCAATGAAAGCGGTGATCATCACGTTTATATGTTCAAGTGCATAGTGTCCAGGATATCATCATCATCATCATCATCATCATCATCATTGTTTATTGATATAGCACTTTAAAAAATGCGCCAGGCAGACCAAAGTGCTGAACAATACAGAAACAAAGAAAAGCAAAACAGAGTATAAAATAATAAGGAAGGATGTCAGTTTCCCGCCGAGGTAAAAGCCAATCTGGACTTAAAGACCTGCACTGAAGACGCTGGTCTAATATGAAGAGGAAGGTTGTTCCAAAGCATCGGAGCCCAGGATATCATAATACCTTGAGGCAATCACATGTAAAACACAATATTTATGAGTGTTTTAAGTTGTAAATCATTCAGATTTGACCCAAACATGACAGGAAGGCTAGCAATCTAGGGAAACAGAACAAAGGAGCACACAGCATTGAGAGTGGATGTGACAAATGTCAAGCAGCGACTCGGATAATAAACAAACACCTGGTAATGAGGGAAGGAAGTGGCACAAAATACAAAGCAACAGAGACAAGAGACCATTGAAATAAAACAGGAAATGACAAACACAGAGACACAAACACAAACCTAATGACTAAGCAAATAACTAGCATTTAAAATAAGAGAGACTAAAGAAAAGACACTGATAAACAAAAGTCCATAAATGCTGTCAGGAAAAGCAGGACTCAACTGCAGGACTTCTTAATCAAATCAAAGACAGTGAGATTATTTACAAGGTGCAATAAAAACAGTTTCATAATGTGACATCCACATTTGTGTTAATCCCACTCTAACGCCCACACCGGCTCGGACAGTCTCGGTCGTTGTGTCCTTGGACAAGACACTTCACCTACCGCCTACTGGTGATGGCCAGAGGGGCCGATGGCGCGATATGGCAGCCTGGCTTCTGTCAGTCTGCCAAAGGGCAGCTGTGGCTACAACTGTAGCTGCCTCCACCAGTGTGTGAATGTGAGAGTGAATGAATAGTGGAATTGTAAAGTGCTTTGAGGGTCTCCAAAAAGCACTATATAAATGCAATCCATTATCATTATTATTAAACTCTCTCTGCAACTTTACCCCCAAATATTTACAAAGAGGTGTCTGTGCTGTCTTCAAAACTGCTTCACGGGTTTCCTGGACAGAAAGGAGAACATCTTCCAAAGAACAAAACGGTCTTTAACTTGTGAAACAGGGTTTCACCAGTGTTTGTCATACAACAATCCGGTGTTGACTGGTAGAAATAGCAGGTCGGATCGGCGAGGGCATACGGACAATGACAAATAGAGAACTAGAAATTAATCCTCTCAAAGCCCAGGGACCATGGCATGGTTTTCCAACAATGTTATTGTTCCATCAGCTTTAATATATGATCCTGAAGCCTACATTTCCGGTCTCGCGTTGACTTCTTTTAACACATTAAGAAGATTACAGATAAGCATTGAAGCAATTAATTTGTATTGATAATTTTTAATAATCAAATTATTTGAACATCAATGGCACTGCTTGCTTGAGAGTAATCAGAATCTCTTGCAACATCGCCTCTTCTTAGAAAGCCATCCTTCTAGGTGTCACTTCTGGTTACAGCGTTTATGGGTCTTTGAGTTTAGTTCCTTTTCTGACTCTGAGTTTATTTATATTTCTGGTTCATGATTTCTTGCCTGTCTCACCTTGTGAGGCTCTGTCATGTCCTGTGCATATGTTTAACCACTCATATCTCTGTTAATTCGATATTCACCTGTCGTGGCAGCTCCCCTCTATGTCATGCTTTTTAATCAGGGCTTTTAGAGGTCTGGACAGTTAACCCCAAGGGACTGTTAATTTAAAAGACGGGAGTAACCTGTAGGTGCTATTTGCACTAAACTAACTGAATACTCAGAGTTATCCTTTTACTGTTTAACAGTGGGTTAAAAAAGTGAATGTCCACAATTTCGACTTTAATTGCAGGAGATTATTTTAAAGCAGTTTTGGAGGAGAAAAGCAAAAGCAGAATCAACAACAACAACAACAATAATAATAACGATTAGCTTGAGGTTGGAGATGAGCCTGTGTTTTATCTCAGTGTTCCATGTTAAAACCAGTCTAACCACCATATCACCATCTCTCTATTTCTTTTAACACTAATAATTCCATTACATTTTAACATTCAGTCACATATGAAAGGGTTTCACTTCACATTTCATTAAATTCAGATTCATTAGCACACTCACTTTAGCATAATCCCTTTTAATCCAAATACACTTTCCTATTAAAGTTCTGTGTTTCTCAATCACAGTTTACTCAGTACTTTCTTTTTGCTTTTTGCTAAATCATATAGTGTCAAACCCCGCCTCTCATCCTATGACAAAAGGGATATGTTGGAAGAGAATGGATGGATATAGTTTTAAAGTCAGACGTTCAGAGATCAAAGTACCCTGTGTCTGCTCTCATTCCTTTTCTTACACACACACACACACACACACACACACACACACACACACACACACACACACACACACACACACACACACACACACACACGAGCATAATTAACTAAAGGTAAAATCACATATAAATCATAATTCTGGGTTTAGCCATTACACACGATTCTTCTCATTCACAATCATGTCAAGATGATAATAGATTGGTGACACAGTTTTTTGTGTGTGCAGACATGTTCCATCATGTCTACATACAAAAAAAAATCTTGACATTACAACAGACATATTCACTATTTAGACTTCATTTCTCTGTTGACGTATTGATCAGACTTCTCAATCATCCAGGTAAGGAAATCCCAAAAAGTGTCATGGCTGGGGCAGCAGTCGTGTGGTGTATCGAGAAAAGGATACAAAATGCAGGTACTGGCTGGGGTGCGAGTGAAACAAAGAAACAAACAAGTGATAAAGAGGCAAAAACACAGGAAGAGCAGAGCAGGGAGCAAACAAACCTAAACTGAGGGAAACTAAAGAACTAACCTGAAACCAAACACACTCAGCTCAGTCTCCAG